TGCTTGGGCCTTGATGGACCGGGTTGTGCACTGTGGCACAGGCGGTCACCCCCCTCCCAGTGTCCAGACAGGGGCCATGGCTAAGAACCCAGTCTTTGAAAATTGGTAGCAAAGGAAAAGAGGGCCCGGCTAGGTCCGTCAGGTAACTCAGTACTTTACACAAACATGCAGCTCAACCTCTTGGATAGGAGTTTGGCCCAAGAGACTTTGACGGAAATTTACAGTGTGGGAAAAAAAAGATAAAGTGGCCAAAGGATGACTGTCCACCTCTGCGGGCAGAGACTAAGGCAACCATTCACTCACTAGGGGGGGACACAGCTCTGTAAATCTCACCAGAAAGACAGGTGGCCGGCAAGGGAAGTTACCAGAACACTGCATGGAGTACAGGCGCTCAGGCCTCCTCTTGGGTAGAGACCTAGCTCTGGTGTGTTCTCTGGGTCCCACACTGTGCGGGGAGCAGGGGAAAGTTCTGCCCTATATACTCCAGCCAGCGCCTTCCGCTCCCACTCTGCCGACTACGCCCCGGGCCCCACAGGGAGGGGAGATCACTCCGTGTAGTCCACGAGGGGGAGTCACGCCGCTCCCCGCTCTCTGATCTGCGCCCACCTGTTCAAGTCCCTTTGCAGTTTACGCTCTTCTGCTCTTTCCCAGGACACTCCCCAAAATGTCCCTTCTGTCACCACAAAACACTATGCTGCCAGTCAGTACCAGCAAACCTCCCCCTGTAAGAGCAGGCTTTGGTCAAGGAAAAGGGGACGAGCCTTCTAGGTCCTGAAATGAATTCAGATCAGGTATAATAAACATCATGTCACCAGCTCTCATTGCTTCTGAGGACAGTGACATCTCGGTGGGAGGCAAACACAATCTGCGGGTCGTTATCTCCAGGGAAAATGCAGCGAGTTGGCATTTAGGAATTTAGCACATGGTTTGCCCCACAGATCCGGTCCCATCGGTGCACAAAGATTCAAGCGGATGTTAATGGCGTACTCCTTCACACAGTAAAAGGAAATGGAAACGTAGGGACTGGTCTACAGACTCTGGTACCTTCCCAAGACGAAACTCTGTAGATGTGCTACCAAGAACAAGATGGCTGTTCAGAAGCTGGTCTGGACTGATGGCCACGCGCTGCAGTGAAGTGAAAACGGCCAGTTCTAGAACAGGGGATTTTCTCCACTCTGCGCACGCAGGAAACTTCTTGGCTTCTCCCTCCCGCCTGCACCCACCACTGTCCTGGGCACACTGAGCGGATGCAGACTGGGACTGAGTCTTTCCGCAAGAACAAGAGGAGGGATGGATGGAAAGGACAGGGAGGAAAAGGGAAGAGCCCAGGTGAGCAGCTTCAAGGGGAGGAGAAGTGAGAGGGAAAACAAGAGTCTCTGGGCACGTAAGAACCGCTGGGAAAAGACAGAAGGAGAACGTGGGCTTTAAAGAATGAGGCAAGTGTGTTCCAAATGGAAGTTTAGGGGCTCACACTAAACACCTCAGGAAAGAAACGTGCCGTGGTTATCTTCAGGGAGTGGAACAGGAGACTGAAAGATGAGGGTGATTTTTACTTGTGTCCTTTAGGAAACGTCCTTTCCTAGAAGTCTATGCTAGTCTTAGAACAAAAGTTATGCTACCAGAGCACCCGTGATATGCCAAAGTCCTCCTCAAAGCCTTAACGAGCCTCTTTTTCTCTAGATCTTTCTCTGGGTCCTAAAGAGAATCAAGTTTGATTTTATATTCAAAATAATTTAAGTTTAAAACTATATTCAGTTCTGTTTTTAGGTTTCTTTCTCCTTTTCATTTTTGCACACATGTGTAGCATTCAGCAGTGATATTAGGGGCCAAGCAGAGTTTCAAGGGCTGGTTTGGGGACTCTCCTGTAAATCTCAGCGCCTTCTTCAGCAGGAGAATGCTTCCCGAGCTCTGAATTACGACTGGCAAACTAACTTTTGCAACTCAATTCATCTTGTGGTTTTTATTTAATTACATTTTTAATGAAAATTTATGAAATACCTTTAAATTGCTTTCTTTCTGCTTAATGTTCACAGTACCACGGGACAGATGACCATGCATAATCACAGATGCTCTCAGAAGAAACGGTAGGAACTAAAGATGATAGATTTTGTTGTGTGTGAATTAATGCCAACCTACTTTATGAAACAGAAAGATCTTTTTTTGGAAGATTTTAAGAGAATGAAAGAAAGAAAGAGAAAAAGAGAATGAGAAAGAGAGAGGGAGAGTGTGCAGACGAGCAGGGGGAGGGACAGAGGGAGAAACAGGCTCCCCGCTGAGCAGGGAGCCCAATTCGAGGTTCTACCCCAGGACCCCGAGATCATGATCTGAGCCGAAGGCAGATCTTCACTGAAGGAAGATGGCTTTACTGACTGAGCCACCGAGGCACCACAGGAAACAAAGATCTTAATACTGTGTTGCATCATAAAGGGAATTTACTTCTATCGAGTCAAAATAAATGACAGAGCAGCAAGTAGGGAGCCGAGGGCAATGGGGTGATTTGGGTAGAACGCGGACGCCTTCTCCTTTAAGGTCAGTAGTTCAAACTAAGCCAAGGTCAGGAGGGAGAACATCACGCCTAGAGTCTTGCCCTCAATCTGGCTGCGGCAAACGGTATATATTATCACTGTAAAACCGTTAGAGCAGGTGGCAGTCCCGTCCCCTCTCAGTAACTCACGCCGAGCTAACTGCCAAGCTAACTGCCCACGTCCTTGGCTAAAGGGGAACCGAAGGCGCACCTGCCGGAGACCAAGTCAGTGGCTGACGGACCCCAGCGCAGACTCCCCCATGAACACGTGCGGGGCAGAAAGCATCACCGACTCTCACATTCCTGCTTCCAGATTGCTAAAGGACTCAACGAGCATCTGACCCATTCGTTCCTTGTTTTCACTTTTGCTGAGCTAAAGGAAAGAAAGGCCAAGGGCGCCAGCATCCACCCTCTCCCTGGGTTGCTTCCCCTACAATAACCACCACTGCCCGCACACCGCTCAGATCCCATGGGTTTCAAGTGCATCAATCAATGCAGATGGGATTTCTGGAAACACAGACTGCTCTGGGCCAGCTTCTTAACAAGCTCCAGGGAAGAGAAACTGGGGAAGGCTTGGAAACCTGTCACGCGGTGTAGGCACGGAGGGTACCCTTCCAGAGAAACTGTGACCTGCCGAGCGCCAGGAACATATAACCAGATGTATTCCAAACAAATTGGAGTCCACGCTGGTGGGCGTGCCTCCCCCCACCCCCGCCCCAACAAGGAAGGCCTCTGGGACTCCAGCCGGTTCACCCGGGGGTAAGTTAGCGCTTCAGAGAAGCCGTGACAGGCATGGGGAGAGGATTCAAACTGTGTGCAGACGCGGCACTATCGAGGAGGGGGACCCATGTCGAGTGTCTGTGCTCAGAGCAGGCTGGGAGGGCAGCCTGGAGGGGGCGGGGGGGGCAGCAGGTGCAGGTCCAGCGCCAGCCGGAGTGTGGGGCAAGGGGCTGGGGGAGCGCCTGCAGGAAGGAGGGCTGGCCTGACCCGAGTCTCCTGGCTGCGGTCCACCAGCTCGGCCTGCGGTTTGGCTTCCCGAGGCCCAGTCCCAGGGTTCAGAGAGGTGACACCAATCTTCCCAGACCCGCCTCTCGTTGCAACACCGAGGCTCAGAGAACGAAGCCTTATTTCTTTGTGCTCGGTTCATATTTTCTGAAAACCCACAAGATTCATCATCCTGAGCAGACATTTCAGGCTCATGGGAAAGTCTGCTGTCTCAGCCCCGAAGGCAATCGCTTCTCAGTTGGGCGCGAGCTGACTCACAGTCTGGATTCCAGAGCTGTCCGACCACACGGCAGTGGAAGAAGCCACCTCTGGAAGCACTGAGAACACCCTTGGGCACCGTGGGGCCGGGAATGGCCTGTGCACCCCTGTCGCCCACCCGGCTGGTGGGGTCCTCGGGCTCCTCTCTGCGTGGACCCCGCCAGGCCGGCTTCCTGCTCCGTGTCTCACTTCCCACCGGGGTCCCGGGCTTGCTTCTGTTCTTCTCCCCTTGATGCTAGTCACTTTCCCCTCCATCGCCTCCTGAGGCATGTCCTCAAGTGGGGACTGACAGCAGCCCGGACCCTGCCCCCTCCTTCACTAAAGCCCCTTCCCTGCTTGTTGTCCCATGCCGGGTAGGCTGAGAGCTGGGTTGTCCCTCTGCTTAGCCCCTCAGGGCTGTCATCGTGACTGCACGGTCTTCAGTGCCACCCAGAACGGCACCCCTCCCGGTCCCCCCGGCTTCAGGGCACCTTCCCAGCTGTGAGCAACCCTGTCCTGTGCGGGAGATGGTGAATGACTCTGAGCCCTTGCCCTCGGCATGACCGGTCTCGACTTCCGAACTCATGCTCTTGGCCCCCAGCAAACCGGGTCCCGCGCCCACCATCACCCGACCTCAGCACCACCAAAGCTCCCGTGAGTTACAAAAGCATCGGGGACGACACAGCCCTGGTCTGAAGGGGCTGCGGTCGGTCAAGAAACAATCCGCAATCGCTCCTCCACCGGTCTCCGACACGTTTGCGCACGGGCACCTCCCCGCTCTCCCGCGAGCCTCAGGAGGCGGTTACGGGGTCACTTGATTCGAGCGAAGGCACCCCGGGAACCACAAAGCCCTGACACATGGAAGAGACCACCATCTGTCGGCCAGACTCAGGGCCCCAGGCGGGCCGTCCTCACCCGGGTCCACAGAGGCGAATGACACAAGCCCCCCCACACCCCCAGCTAGGGACCGGCCGTGGACCTGAGGCTCCCCCCGCCCTGCACTCTGCCCCATTGCCGCAAGCCACACACCACACCGGGACCCGCAGCTCCACAGAGACCGCATCTCCGCAGCCCCTGCACCCCCACAGGGCCTGCCCCAGGGCCGGAACCTCAGGAACAAAAACAAAACGGGGACACTCGCTAAGACGCGGTCCCTGCAGTGACTCTGGGACGTAAGTCCTCTGGCGCAGGGAAGGCCCTGCAGCCTTGACTCCGGCCCGGCCCCAGGACTCACCGGTACGGCTCCATGGTCCGGATGCCGTAGAACAAGGCCTCCTCCAGCAGGCCCAGGTTGATGCAGGCGTCCATGGCGCAGTCGAGAACCTTCAGCTGGTAGACGTTGATGTCGGGAAGGCGCTCGGCGTTGCTGCTGATGATGGTCTGGCACATGGCCAGCACCTGTTCCCACTCTGTGATTAACCTTAGTTAAGGATTCATTGTCTCCACCAGGAAAACAAGGAAAATGAGATTCTCGGCAAGCCTGAACAGCCGCCAGGCACAGGAGGGAAGGAGAAGCCCATTATTTCACACAGATGAGCTGCCTAAAAACATACTTGAGAAACAAAAACGGGTTAAGTGGCATCTCAGAGAAGCAAATTCTGTTTACGTCAACAAACCGTCTTCCGAGCAAGCCTGTACTTTGGGGGATTAAGCTTCCCAAAGAACCCTGCTTTCTTCACGCTCCTCTACAGATTCTCCTTAAAGCCCGTCGTGAAACAGTGCAGCCGCATGTGAAACTAAACGACCGGTGAGGTTATCGCAGCCTGACCTGTGTACTGTGTTAGCTTCTGTTACAAAACCGATCCAGATGGAAGAAGCTTCAGACGGATTCCATTTTAAAACGGAGGAGCTCGTTTTTGCCCCTGGGTCATCCAAATCTTGGGCATACAGGAAGCCAAGTACACAACCCACAGGCACGAACGAGGGAAGCAACTTGAAGAAATACATCTCCACCGGGCCTCCTACTGAAGCTATTTTTTCTTTATTATTATTATAAAGCAAAAGGGATCAGGCCTATACTTAACCAAAAAAAAAAAAGTATTCTTATTTTGAATCTCTGAAGTGGGAGATAATATGATAATATTAAGAACAGGGCTCAGGCATATCAACTGTGGGCAGGGGGAAAGGATGCTTTAAAAAGGGGCACCTGGGTGGCAGGGCCGGTTAAGGGTGTGAGTGTGGACTTGGGCTCAGGTCATGACCTCAGTCATGAGATCAAGCCCCGAGTCCCGTGATGGGCTCTGCGCTCAGCATGGAGTCTGCTGGAAATGCTCTCTCTCCCTTTGCCCCTCCCCCTAGTCTCTTTCTCTCTTAAGTAAGTAAATCTCTTAAAAAAAAAAAATTGTAAAAAGACCCAGTACTCACTTATGAGCAACTCTGACTGTCTGATTCGCTGTGAGTCCCCAACTTCCTCTCATGCAGCCCTGATGCGATCGCCCTTTTTTATTTTATTTATTTATTTTTAAAGATTTCATTTATTTAGTTGAGAGAGAGAGAGTGCACAAGCAGGGGGAGGGACAAAGGGAGAGGGAGAACCAGGCTTCCCACTGAGTAGGGAGCCCAATGTGGGGTTTGATCCCAGGACCCTGGAGATCATAACCTCAGTGGACAGCATACACTTAACGAATGAGCTACCCAGGCACCCTGTGATCTGCCTTTTTTGAAACTGCTATTCCTCCCTGCCCTCTTCTAGAGGCAGTCGGAGGACTGAGGACGTGCTGTAGGGAGCGTGGACCGTGCCGTGAATCCACCCGCCCAGGTGAACACCGCAGAAGCGCAGCTGAAGGCCAGAGTGCGGGCACTCGGCTTCCCTTCCTGCGCCGCTGCTGCTGGGGTGCCATGTGTTGGGGAAAGTGCAGGCCCATCCCCCACCCTCCCCCCTTCAACCTGCACACTCCACATCCTGCCACACTCCACCAGAGCGAAAAGGGTTGCAGATCTTAGAGGCAGCAGAAATGGCAGAGCCTTTGGCTGGAGCTAAAGCTGGATTTCAATCTGAGCTGCTTCTGTCATCGGTCAGATCTGAGGCTCTGAGGATGTCGCTAGAGCCCTTAATGCCACGTGACTTCTGAACACCACTAGGGGGAAAGAAAATGGTCCAGTGGACTGAACCCCCATCTACCCACACCCCTCACCACCACCACCCAACCCAGTCTCTTCCCGATCAGTGCCACCCCCCACGCCCCGAACAAAGGCCCCTCCATCTTTCACTGGTCCCCATTTGGCACACCCCACCTTGAACCAACAGTGTGCTCCAGCTCCCCTTTATCTCCCCTCATCAACATCCACCCCTCCTAGCCTCCCTGCCACCCGCTGGTGCTGCCTTCCAGAACGTTAGCACTTGTAATAATCCAGTCAAGCCGCCTGTGGCAGTGGGGACTAGCGTCTTTATGAACCTCACGAGAGAAGTGTTTCTTTTCAGTGCCCCCCCCCCCCCGCCGGAGGCACAGCACCTTACCCCTGAGGCAGGAATTCCTTGGTTAGATTCGTGAGCACCACAACGCACAGCCCAGGGCCTTTTATTTCACACTTCCTGTATACCACACTCTGTAATTTTAGGGTGAGTCTTGTCTCTGAGGAGTTGACTCTGGTCCCGGGCGAGGAGCATTTACTGAAGAAAAATTGAGTCGGTGACTTCTTTTGTATTCATCTGACATTATGGGTAAAGTGTGCTGAATGATCCCCAGAGGTTGGGGGGAGCAGTAGCTCAGGCAACGCAATGATTCTGTAACAGATTGCGGGGCTAACCTCTGTGGCTTTTCATTCCAGGATTAGGTACTGGACAAACTGCCAGGGGGAATGACGGTCTCTTATGCAACACGAGACATTTCTGGGGCAAGACTGCGCCTTACTTCACCGTTGTGTTGTTTGACCTCCATGACTACTCGTCTACTCATTTATATATGCTCCGACTCATCTGCAAGAGGTTTGAGGTGACAAGCCTTAGAAACGAAAACCAGATGTGATGATATTCTGAAGCCACCGATAGGAATACATCTACTTTCTCCCCCGGCAAGCTGGAAGGGACCGCACGCCAACTTCCTTGGCAACCCTGGCAACTGTCTGCTGGCAAACGAGGCAACCCTCTCTTATAAAACACCCCAGTGAGCAAAAAAATGGAATAATTTTAACTAAGAGGCTTTTCCCCCAAGCGGATGCTGACATTGTATTTGCTCAGAAATGCAGTGTCTGGCATTTGCCGGGTGTTACATATGAGCTGGTCTGTTCCAGGGGGGAGCTGAGCTCTGGAGAGAAGCAGGGTGGAGAGCTGCCCTGAAGCAGAGAGAATGATAACCTTCTTTAACCTCCCAGAGTTGACCATTGTGCCTCTGATGCCCCTCCAGGATGCATGTGCCAAGAGGTGTTGATGTCTGTGGGAGAGTTGTGAGAGCAGGGTGGTATGGACCAGAAGGTGGGCTGTACCCGGCACAGCACTTGGCGCAGAGTCCATTTTCAGTGAGGCCTTGTCCCGCTGAGACCTGACTGTGGCTGGGTCATCCAGGGCCCCAATTCCACGGTAGGGGGGCCTGGAGAATGAGCCTATTTCTCTGCAGTAGAATGGTTTTTTGAGCCCAAGCAGGCCCCCCTCTCCTTCCCAGAGCTGACCATTTTCTCAGTATCTCCCATCCTGCCTACAGACAGGGTTTCAAACTCCATTTGGACCCTGGCCCCATGCCTGACAATTTATTTTAGTTTTTCTAGATCCTTCTTAATATGCCTTACATCCAACCAGGCCCAGAACTCTGGATATGATCAGACTCACAGATCCCCTTTCTCATTTCCTCGTCTCCGTTAATGCAGCCCGAGAGCGCAGGAGGTTTTTGAGGGGTTATATCATCCTCTTAAACGTGATTAAATTTTTCTGTGTACCAAAACCCTAAAATCGTTCCACATGTCCTACTGCTAAGCTTGAGGTCTATTTACACACTTAACTCTGACCCAAACAGAAGATTTTATATACATTCTTGTTGAATTTCGTCTGTTCAGATTCAGGCATCATTCAAGCCTTCAGGGGTCTTGAGCTCTGGATTCTATCCACCCACCCTCTGCCATTCCCCTGACTCCAACCTTTGGGAATCTGAGGGCCCCTGGGCTCTGCATCGCCATTCAAGGCATAGAGTCAAAGGCGGGAGAGGACCGAGGTGGGAACAGGGCACTCCAGAGTCACAGCGACCCCAGGGCATCATTTTCTCAGAAGAGCCACTCAAGCATTTAGAAAGCTGTCTGGCCATGCTAGCATCCAGGATCAATTTCTTGACTGCTCTTAACTGGGCATCTTCCAGAAATCCACATAAAAACTTTACCAAAGAAATCCACCACTCTCTGGACTCACTTGCTCTTGGTGAACCCAGGCAGCCTAGGCTGATCACAGCTCCCTTTCCATTCTGTTAGTAATCAGCTACAGATTCTTTCCCCACATTGCAACAGACAGACAAAAACAACCCACTGGCTTCAGATTTCAGAAGATCCCTTTTTCACCTTTAAAAACAAGACCAGTTTGCCCATCCACCTCTTCTATTCTGTACAACTCCTTGAAGAACACTGTAGATAGAAACCTCATTTGCAGATGTTCTTACTGTCTGGGATCGGATTTCCCCCAAGGCATCTGAAGGACCTGGCACTATCTTTTTCATCTACCTTGTTCTATTTCTTCTGGCCTTGGCGTTTCCCTTTGTCAGGTTTTTTGCTCAAGTGATCTCCCCTACTGGAAGCGACCTCCCTCTCAGCCTCTACCCATTCAAACCCTGTCCCTGATTTGTGCTACCTCTCTCCCAGTACATCAGTGTGGCCTCCCCTGAGGACCTCCAGCATAAGTGCTCTCTCCTTACTCTGAACTTTGACCCACTTGTGGTCCTTACTATTTATGCCCAGAAAATTTATTGCGCAGCAACTCCCTCTGCTGTGGTAGTCATGGTTGATTTAATATGAAACTTCTAGATCTGAGAGTCAATGATTTTAACTTTGAAGGAGTCTAAGTTATTTTTTCCTAGAGACATAGGTTGTGGGAGGAAAGGAATACAGAAACCTGTTACCTAGTACAGTGCCTGTACACCATCTAGAGATTACTACTTACCCTCCTATTACTGGCATGAGTTACGGCTACTATCTGATGGTGGTGAGGTATTCATGCCGATTCTGCCATACTCTGCCCAGCCATTACCTAGACTGTTGGCTGGGCTTTGGGATGCAGCCTGTGACCGTGAAACAGAATGAAACTCACTGGCTCATGCAAAGGTCAAACCATGGACTTGGCCTCATTAACGCTAAGCTCCAACCAATAAAGAAGCAACAGTCCCAACAGTATGGCTCAATCTACAGGTAAAAGGATACTCCAATGTGCCTTCAGTTCTTCAATTTTTTTCAAGGATTCTTGAACTTCCTTCCACACCTGCTCATCACCAGTGAGCATATCAGCATCCTGATCAGGCCAAATGAAGAGAACAGAAAGGAAGACAAATTATTCAATTAATAAAATGGGCAAAGGAGAAAAAGATGGGCAAAGGATCTAAACAGATATTTCTCCAGAGAAGATATTCAAATGGACAATAAACACCTGGACAGATGCTCAACGTCATTAGCCATCACAGAAATGCAAATCAAAACCATAGAGAGGTATCACTTCACACCCCCCAGCCTGGCTATAAAGATGTCAGAAAGACCGAGAATAACAAGTGTCGGCAAGGCTGTGGAGAAACCAAACTCTCCTGTGTTATTGGTAGCAATGTGACATGCTGCGGGCACTTTGCAAAAACAGTCTGGCAGTGTCTTAAAAAGTTAAACATGGAGTTACCATATCATTAAACAATTCCGCTCCTTAGATCCCCAAGAGAGAGAAAAACACGTTCACCCAAAAACCTGTGCATCAATGTTCACAGCAGCATAATTCTAGCAAATAAGGTGGAAACAGCCCAAATGCCCATCAAATGAATGGATAAATAAAATGTGACATATCCAGACAACGGAATATTAGTGGCAGTGAAAAGCAACAAAATGAGGACGTCCCCTAAAAACACCGAGCTAAGTGCAAGAAGCCAGTCACAAAGGACCACATACTGTATGATTCCACTGAAATGAAGTGTTCAGAATAGGCAAATCCACAGAGACAGAAAGTCAGTTACTCATTGGCTACAGAGGGGAAGGGTGGGGAGAAGTGGACGGGACTGCCAACAGGGATGGAGCTTCTTCTCGGGCCGATGGAAATGCCGTAAAATCCACTGTGTACATGGTTCCACGACTCTGTGATATACTTGTATACTTCAACTGGCAGCTTTGTATCATATGTGGATTATATCTCGATATAGCTGAGATATATCAGGACGGGGAAGAGGGGCAAGAGAAAGAACCATTTGTTTGGAGACAGGTACCTGAATCAAAAACGTAGTTATCAATCAAAATGCATCTGGGAAAGAGTAAGAGGAGTACAATTACACCCATGTGAACGTATTGTGACTTCAGCAAAAACTTAAAAGAAGGTGGAAGAGGGGGAGGAGGAGAGGAGGAAGATGAAAAAGAAGGAGGAGAGGAGGAGAACAGAGAATACCCAACAATTTAAAAAGCAATTCAAAACAAAACTGTGAGTTATCATTTATTAAGCATGGTCCTCTGGCTTAGTAAGCAGGTCCTCTCTTCTTCTTGTGTGTCCACATTTTAAGAGCACCATAGCCACGCATGGCTGTAACCACCGTACTGGGTAGCACAGATTCAGAACAGTTCTATCATCACAAAAGTTCTATTGGACAGCGCGGCTTTAAAGAGGCTAATCAAAGCATCAAAAACTGTCATCAGATGCCATTCAAAACCAGGTGTTTAATATTCATTAAATTCTCAGTGGGTTTCAGGGAGAAGAACCATCCAAGGAAGTTGTATTAAATCATGGCCGAATCACGGTAAAGGTGAGGGAGGGCAGACTTTTTAAACTACAGCAATCTCCCTGAAGATTTTTACATGCCTCCTAGGGGACGTTTATACAATGACTCTTGTGAGAACCACTGCCAGGGCAGGCCTAGGAGGATGATACAGATCACTCTGGCACGGCAGGGCAGAGACAAAAGAGGGCCATGGAGAGCCAGGGAAAAGAGATCCCAAGAACAGGGTGAGGCAGTGGGTGCACACACGAGGAAACATGTACGCTCGTGTCAGGCAGGGTGCCTGTGTGTAGCAGGGTTTTACAGGTTGCCTATGAGTAACACCACAGGGTGGTTTTTAAAAGGACACTATAAATACACCCTACTTTTGGGGGGGCATTCTAAATAAGAACCCAGCTTTCTATACACAGGAGAGGGAAATGAAAGTTACTTGCTTTTCAAAAGGTAGACATGAATCTCCTAAGTGCCTTCCCTAAGTCCACACTCAGCTCCTAAAGCCTCCATCCCACTGCCTCACTCCAAAGCAACTCCCCGGCTCCTCCCAGAAAGAGCCTGTGTGTTAAACCTTGACAATCATGGCTGTTTAGGATGAAATCTTCCTGGTTTGTATTTTACTCCTGGCCGCTCAAGCTCTAGGCAAGACATCTCACTTGTTAGACTCTACAGGAGGCAGATAACAGGCCCCCGAAGATGTCCATGTCCCAGTCCCTAGAACCTATACATATGTCTGGGTACATAGCAAAGGGGAAATCAGGTTGCCAGTGGGATTAAGACTGCTTGTCAGCTGACCCGAGAATAAGCAGCAGGTCCTGAACTCCCCAGGTGGGGCCCGTGGAATCACAAGTGTCTTTCAGGGTGGAAGAGGGAGGCAGAAGAAGAGGTCAGTGATGTAACTTGAGGACCGAACCTCACTGTCTACTTAGAAGATGGAGGAAGGGACCCACAAACCAAGGAGAACAGGTGGCCTCCAGAATCCAACAGAGTCAAGGAAACAAATCCTGCCCCTCTGCCGCCCGCTAGGAGACTCTACAAAGAAAGGTAGCCCCTCCAAGGACCCTCATTCTCACCCAGTGAAACCTGTCTCAGGCTTCTGACCTACAGGACTGTAAGGGAATAAATTTGTGTTGTTTCAAGCCACTGAGTTTGTGATCATCTGTTAGAGCAGCCATAGGCAACTACTATAGCCCATACCACACCCGCTGTTCTTCTGGCCACTGGACCTTGGCATGTGCCCCTCCCTGCAGCTGAAATTAAGTCACCTGATCACCTATTCTAAAAGCATCTACTGAGTACCTACTGGGGCAATGTTCTAGGCACAGAGAATAGAGCAGTAAAAAAAAAAAAAAATCAGAGGGTTTACAATAAAGAGATAGGAGGAGCTTGGTATAACAGAAAACATGCACACATGAAATACATATTTATCAGAAGGAAAAACAAGTAAACAGGGAAGGGGGATAGGGAGTACTGACCCCAGAGAGTTCCGTCTTAGGCAGGGTGATCAGGGAAAGCCTCACTGAGAAGATAATATAGAAGATCAGAGAGAGGTCAAGGGGGAGAAGATAGGAATTCTAGGCAGAGAGGACAGCCAGTGCCCTGGTGCTGAGCCAGGAGCTTGCCCGATGTTCCATAAACAGCAAAGAGACTGTTGTGGACAGAGTTCTTCCATTGTTGTTTGTGTACATGTTAGAGCTAAATATAGGTCCTCTGCTTTGATCCCGCCTCTCCGCATACCTAGCACAGAGCACTGTATGGAACAAATGCCCAGTGAAACATCTGTAGGATAGATCTGGAAGATGGAGGCTGCCATTTCTTTGGTCACGATCTGGATGTCCCTTGTACGGATTTCAATTACTCCTCACAACATCCTTGTAGGGCATCCATACCTCTAATGACAAATGAGGCAAAAGATACCTGCCCTGCTCCTTAAGTATGTGCCACATATGTCCTTCTGTAGTAACTGCCAGAGGCAAGATTCAAATCCAAGTCCGTCTGGCTTCAGGGCTCAAGCTCTTTGCACTAACTTTATGTTTTATTTTCGTTTGTTTCTCTCCTAGGCTTGCTCAAAAGGTGAGACAGGTCTGGGAAGTAGTCACTTCAAAATATCTTCAACTCATGGTTCCTATGATCTTCCTAATCCCTGCACTTGCAAAAGTGCAGTAGATCCTCCAGCATGAGGGGCACCTGGGTGGATCAGTCAGTTAGGCATCTGCCTTCGACTCAGATCATGATCCCAGAGTCCAGGGATCGAGCCCTACATCGGGCTCCCTGCTTTGCCGGGAGCCTGCTTCTCTCTCTGCCCCCGCCCCTTGCTTGTGCTTGTGCTCTGTCCCTCTCTCCCTCTCTGTCTGAAATAAATAAATCTTTATAAAACAACAACAAACCATCAACTCCCTACAATGTCTCACTATGATATGAGAGGTCGTATTCCCTGCACCCTCGGGTTCCTGATTCACCTCGCTCCCACCCACTATCTTGTTCTGTGACTTCTGTGACTGTCCCTACAATAGGGTCTCTCTCCCCTCTCCCCTCAGCGGGAAGGGGCACATCCGATTCTGCGTGTATGTGTTCATATACATATGCATTCCTATATATACAGGACACGCATTCATAAACAGAGAAACAACGTAGGGAAGCATAATTTAAATCTTCTACTTTTTTCCATTTGCAAATGTAAGAGTTTATTAGTGTGTTCTTTTCTACAGCCCCTCGGGTATAAAGGTAGTAAATTTATACCCTTATTTCATGATTTCTTATCCAAGCATATCAAAGAGACTTGCTATCATTTAGGACAGTCATTTAGGGAAAAAATTCCTTTTTGAATTTCCGCTTTACTGTGAGAATGGGGCTCTAGGGGGTGAGCCCTGAAATTGGTTTCCGATAGGTGGCAACATTCATTTTACGCACAGCTATATTTTTTTCTTTTTTTAAAAAATCAGATGTGCTATTGTTGAGTTTTCTACAAATGATAAAAATAGTTCTGACTACAGGCAGAGGGATTCCTGAGGAGTTCACTCCGCCAGGAAACGATGACGAGAAGCAAGGACACGTCGGCTCCAGCACCGACAGCACCTCTGCCCTGACTAGCTGCGTGTCCCTTTGCAAGCCTTCCTCCTCCTGCCCGTCAGCTCCCCCACCCGTGAAGGCAGCTGGTCCGATGCCCACCCCCATTCTTTCCACTTGACCACTTCAGGGGTGGAAGTAGCACAGAGCCACATTAGCTGTACCTCTGGTGACCTCTCTCTTGCGCACCTCCAGAAAAGTCTGTCAAGAGCTTGGCTTCGTTTTAGACAAAAAACATGGCAATAGTTCACTTGAGGCTGACCTCTGTCAGCTGCTGTCAGGCCTTGGTAAGAATAAGTCTCCTGAGTCACTCCATTCCCTCTCTGGCCTCTTAGGCTCCTCTCCTCACCGCCTCCCCTGCCCCAAACGCCGGGGCCAACTACTCCCCAAGGTTCAAGTCAGTTCTCTCGATACTTGGTTCCTTCTTCCTCGCCCCCATTCCGTCCTCTCAGAGCCCGCCCCAAGTCTGGCACAACCCGGGCTCTATGACTGC